GCGAGAGTTTCGTTTGTGAGTGAATTGCGAGGAAATCTTAGGCGGGAGCCCCTCCCTTATGGGCCCCGCATTTCATGATGGTAATCAGAGCGGGCCATCGGAACTTTGTATATGTCGTCACTTTTTCCCCACATGTTTCGTGGGGTTCTGGTTTTCTTCTCTGCCGCGTCGCACCCGCGTCTCACACCCGCACACACCCACACACCCGCACACACCTCCCACACACACACACACAGCACAGCACAGCACGGCACCGCACCGCACCGCACAGCACAGCACAGCACAGCACAGCACAGCACAGCACAGCACAGCACAGCACAGCACAGTACAGTACAGCACAGTACTGCTTAGCACAGCTCAGCACAGCTCAACCCAGCCCAGCACAGCACAGCAATCTCATCTCAGCTCAGCACAGTACAGCACAGCTCAGCTCAGCTCAGCTCGGCACATCACAGCACAGCACAGCTCAGCACAGCAGAGCACGCAGGGCCTGGCAGGCGTGGCACTTCCTCGTCACCAGAGGGGGGTTGCAGGGGGTGGTCTCCCACCGCGGCCCCTATACGCGCCAATGTCGCAGGGCCTAGCAGGCGTTGCACTTTCTCGACACCACAGGGGGTGCGCACGGGGTGGTCCCTGAGCGCGGCCGCTATCTGTGACGGTCGTCCAGGGCACAGCAGGCGTGGCGTTTTCTCGACACCACAGGGGATGCGCACGGAGTGGTCCCTAAGCGCGGCCGCTATCCGTGACGGTCGTCCAGGGCACAGCAGGCGTGGCGTTTTTTCGGCACCAGCGGGGGTGCGCACGGGGTGGTCCCTGAGCGCGGCCGCTAGCCGTGACGGTCGTCCAGGGCACAGCAGGCGTGGCGTTTTCTTGACACCACAAGGGGTGCGCACGGGTTGGTCCCTGAGCGCGGCAGCCATCCGTGACGGACGTCCAGGACACAGCAGGCGTGGCGTTTGCTCGACGCCACAGGGGGTGCGCACGGGGTGGTCCCTGAGCGCCGCCGCTATCCGTGACGGTCGTCCAGGGCACAGCAGGCGCGGCGTTTCCTCGACACCACAGGGGGTGCGCAAGGGGTGGTCCCTGAGCGCGGCCGCTGTCCGTGGCGGTCGTCCAGGGCTCAGTAGGCGTGGCGCTTTCGCGACACCACAGGGGGTGCGCACGGGGTGGTCCCTGAGCGTGGCCGCTATCCGTGACGGTCGTCCAGGGCACAGCAGGCGTTGCGTTTCCTCGACACCACAGGGGGTGCGCACGGGGTGTTCCCTGAGCGCGGCCGCTATCAGTGACGGTCGTCCAAGTCACAACAAGCGTGGCGTTTCCTGGACACCACAGGGGGTGCGCACGGGGTGGTCAAAGAGCGCGGCCGCTATCCGTGACGGTCGTCCAGGGCACAGCAGGCGTTGCGTTTCCTCGACACCACAGGGGGTGCGCACGGGGTGGTCCCTGAGCGCGGCCGCCATCCGTGACGGTCGTCCAGGGCACAGCAGGCGTGGCGTTCTCTTGACACCACAAGAGGTGCGCACGGGGTGGTCCCTGAGCGCGGCAGCTATCCGTGACGGTCGTCCAGGGCGCAGCAGGCGTGGCGTTTTCTCAACGCCACAGGGGGTGCGCACGGGGTGGTCCCTGAGCGCGGCCGCTAGCCGTGACGGTCATCCAGGGCTCAGCAGGCGTGGCGTTTTCTCGACACCACAGGGGGTGCGCACGGGGTTGTCCCTGAGCGCGGCCGCTATCCGTGACGGTCGTCCAGGGCACAGCAGGCGTGGCGTTTCCTCGACACCACAAGGGGTGCGCACGGGGTGTTCCCTGAGCGCGGCCGCCATCCGTGACGGTCGTCCAGGGCTCAGCAGGCGTTGCGCTTTCTCGACGCCACAAGGGGGTGCGCACGGGGTGGTCCCTGAGCGCGGCCGCTATCCGTGACGGTCGTCCAGGGCACAGCAGGCGTGGCGTTTTCTCGACACCAGAGTGCGCACGGGTTGGTCCCTGAGCGCGGCCGCTATCCGTGACTGTCGTCCAGGGCACAGCAGGCGTGGAGTTTTGTCGACACCACAGGGGGTGCGCACGGGGTGGTCCCTGAGCGCGGCCGCTAGCCGTGACGGTCGTCCAGGGCGCCGCAGGCGTGGCGTTTTCTCAACGCCACAAGGGGGTGCGCACGGGGTGGTCCCTGAGCGCGGCCGTTATCCGTGACGGCCGTCCTTGCGGTATCGGCGGGGCAGCGGCCACCAACATCGTTCTCACATGCTTCATTTTAGCTATCATCACCCCAACCATAATATAAGTATGTGGGATTCCTCGGTAGCGTAATGTTCGGCTCCTCTGGAATGAAGATGCAGGAAGTCTCAGGCGGCAACTTCGTCTGTCAGTGACTTGCGAAGAAGTCTCAGGCGGGAGCCCCTCCCTATGGGTTCCGCATTTCATGTTGGTAATATGATGGGGGCCATCGGAACATTGTAATTGTCGTCGTTGTTCGGCTCCTCTGGAGCGGAATTGGAGAATGTCTCAGGCGGGGGCTTCGTGTGTGAGCGAATCTCGATGAGATCTCAGGCGGGAGCCCCGTGCCTATGGGGTCCTCATTGCATGTAGGTAATCCGAGCCAGTCATCGCACACATCTAAGTGTCGATGTGTTCGGCTTCTCCTCTGAAGCGACGGCGGAAGTCTGAGGCGGGAGTGTCGTCTGTGAGTGAATTGCGAGGATGTCTCAGGCTGGAGTTCCCGCCTTATGGGGTCCGCATTTCATGATGGTAGTCCGAGCAGGTCATCGGAACCTTGTAGCCGTCGTCATTTTCCTGTTCTTCTGGATTGAATAATGAGGAAGTTTCAGGCGGGAGCTTCGTCTGTGAATGACTTGCGAGGAGGTCTCAGGCGGAACCCCCCTTCCCTATTGGGTCTTCATTTCATGTTTGTAACCCGAGCGGGTCATCGGAACTTTGTAACTGTCGTCGCGTGTTCGGCTGGATTGAATGTGGAGGAACTCTCACGCGGTGGTTACTTTTGTAGGTGAGTTGCGAGAAAGTCTCAGGCGGGACCCCCCTCCCTATGGTGCCCGCGCTTCATGTTGGCAATCCGAGCGGGTCATCGGCAACTTCTACCAGTAATAGTATGTGAGCACCCCGGAGGGGCACATCACGAGGCGTTCCTCGCGCGTTTGTGAATGAGTTGCAAGGAAGGCTCGGACGGGAACCCCCTCCCTAGTCACAACTTGCTCGAGGAGTTCGACAAGAGAGCGGCGAACTCCATGGCTGAAGCGGAGCAACTCGCGGCAGAGCTGAACTTCGTGCTGCCTCCCGCTTGAGCGTGGCCGCGACTAATTCGGTGCTTGCGGGGTTGTCCCAACGGCTTGCTCCCGCGCCCTAGCGGCTTGCGGGGTTGTCCCAACGGCCGTTGCCCCGACGGCTTCGCGATTCTGCCATCGGAGAGCGCGCCCCTGCCATGCGCGGCGGCGACGGCGCCGAGGAAACTCGGCATGCGCCCCCTGCCAGGAAGAAAAAAAGGTCATCACGCGAACCGGCGGGGTAGAGATGAGAGGGGGGGAGAAGGAGAAGGAGGAAGAGGAGGAGGTGGAAGAGGAGGAGGAGGAGGAACAGGACGACGAGAAACAGGATACATTGAACAAGAAGGGCGAGCAGGAGGAGGAGACGGAGGACGAGGATGACAAGGAGGACGAGGAGGAGTCGCAACACAGGGCGAAACGGGGGGCTTAGGTCAGGGCGAAAAAGAAACAACAAAGGACAATCTAAATGGATTGTCGTGCGGGGTCCTACCGTCGGGGTAATTGAAGGATGTTCTTCTGTCCTACGTCCGAATGTATTGACAGGGCGGTCGCTGGCTATTACTGGCCTCTGCGCCCTCGGCCGAAGTCTGAGAAACGTAGGAAGGAACGAAACAAAACAACCAGAAATCGCTTAAGTGCGAAGGCCACTCCTGGCCAAAACCCTAAACAATGGGACGACCCCGAACGCCAATTGGAAAACCAACGCTTCCCTCGTTCCCAGACCTGCACCCCTGTGTGTGGTCTTTCGTGGGATCCTCACAGGGTCCCACAATTTTAGGCGTTTGGGGGGATCTTGCCTCGATGTCATCGGATCTGGTCGAGTTTTGGGCGAAATTTGGACGGCATTTGGACGAAAAAGGGTGAAGAAGGGCGACTGGAACCTAGGCGATATCCAATCGAACTCGCGTTCAGGACAGTGGCCGCGGAAGTTCCCGTTGGCAGCGATGGAAGCATTCCTTTCTCAATCATATGTGTTGTCACGCCTGATGTATCACCGAGAACAAAGGACCCCCCAACCCGAAAAGCACGAGGAAGACGTGGCCTCATTGGAGTCCCCGTCTTTGCCTGAGGGATGGCATCTCTGGACGGTCTGGTTCGCTACATTTGCAGGAAAAAAAGGTCCCCCCCCCAAAGGGTCAGAAGTCAATTGATTGGCTTTTGTAGCAATCCTTCGTTTGCGTTCGCGCACCATTGCCGCAGTGTCTCACGCCTCCCGTGTCCGCTTCGCGGGGCGAGGACCTCCGCGGGCACGTCGGCTGGACTCCACGCCTCGACCCGCGGAGGTCCACAGAGGCCGTGGCGAGGGACCTCCCCCTCCTCCTCCTCCTCCTCCTCCTCCTCCTCCTCCTCCTCCTCCTCCTCCTCCTCCTCCCTTTCTTCCTCCCTCTCCTCCTCCTCCTCCTCCTCCTCTCCTCCTCCTCCTCCTCCTCCTCCTCCTCCTCCTCCTCCTCCTCCTCCTCCTCCTCCTCCTCCTCCTCCTCCTCCTCCCCCCCCCTCCCCCTCACCCTCTTCCCCTCGTCCTCCTCTCCACTCTTCTTCCCCCTCACTTCTTCCTCCTCGTCCTCCTCCTTCCTCCCTCTCGTCCTCCTCCTCCTCCCCCCCTCCTCCTCTCCGCTCTTCTTCCCCTTCCTCCTCCTCCTCCTCCTCCTGCACCCCCTCCTCCTCCTCCTCCTCCTCCTCCTCCTCCTCCTCCTCCTCCGCTTCTGCCTCCTCCCGGCACGCCCCGCGCAGGCCAAGCTCGAGGCCCTGCGGAGCATGACGGACGAGGAGCGGCAGGCGAAGCTCTGGCGCGCCGTGGAGGTGAAGAGGCGCCGCCGCCGGCCCCCGGCGCGCGGCCTCTCGGAAGAGGCATGCGCCCTTTGAGAGATGGTCGTTCTTTGGATTCGTGGTGGACGGCCAATGGAGAGGAGGCGTGTTGCCAAATCATGTCCAGATGTCGGAAGCGTATGCTAAAACTGTTGTTAAAATGAAAGAAAGACCATGTTTGAAACATGTGTCAGGTCGTGGAGGACCGCCAATGGAGAGGAAGCATGTTGCCAAATCATTTCCAGATGTCTGAAACGTGTGCCAAAACTGTTGTTAGAATGAAAGAAACAACCATGTTCGAAGCATGTGTCAGGACATGTTGTCCGGCATTTTAAACACATTTGAACTTCAATGATAGGACTGTTAGGGGGTCCATTGTCGTGGCATCCACAAGTCTTTCTTCAGATCCAAGCGAGTTGACTTGCATGGGCGGGGGGGGACCTGAGCCGGAAGCAAGCCGAAAAACAGCTTGACGTGCGGCAGCCACGCAAGTCGAAAGGCATTGGCGCGCTCGTAATTATTCGATCGAAGCGGGGTGATCGGCGGGGGGAGGGGGGGGCGAACGCCATGCAAGTAAATTTGCCTGGGTCTAAAGAAGAACAGGCTCTTGCTCGTCAGGGGCGGCCGGACTGGACGCCCCGAGATCCTGAGGAGGCCTTCCCCAGCTCACGTCCCCCGCCGGAACGCGGCGCGCCGCCGCGCGCGCGTCCGCTCTCGTAACTTTCCCTGCCCCCTCGAGGCTGGAGAGCACGCTGCCGTCGAGGGCCTCGCCGCGCGGGCCGTGCGTGCGCCAGAGATTGGCGCCTCGGGCCCTCCCTCCCCTCCCCCACCCGCCAGGAGCGGCGCCTCGGCTGACGCAGCCCCTGGCCCGTTTCCGCGCGTCGGGGAGGATTTCGGTCCCCCCAGACAGACCCAGAGAGCCGAGGCTCCGATCAAGCATCGGAACGGTTGGCCATTGAGAACAAGAGAACCCCCGACCTCAATACCACCATGAAGACGTGGCCTCGCTTAGGTCCCCATTCTCGCATCGGGGATACAGGAACAATGGGCGGTTTGGTTCGATACAGCTGCAGAAACTATTCCTTCTCCCTAATTAATGTTCTTGGCCCTCCTGACTTCGGACCCTTCCTAAGGGTTAGGGATACTTCTATTGCTCATCAGTGGGGAAGGGCTGATTCCCCAGCAGACCCAGAGATCCTAGGCTCCGGAAAATTGGAGCGGCCGGTTTTTGTAAGTTTTGCCCTTTGGGAGCGCTCGATGGGCCCTGAGACCGTCGAAAAGCGATTCAGGATGAACAATCGGCCCCAGGGCCCATGCATCGGAAAAGTTGGAGCGCCCGCTGTTTGGGGATGCCCCCAGCAGAATCGCTCCGAACAGGTGCGGTAAGTACTAGGCACATCAAGCTTGAAGTGAAGGGGATGATGGTTCATGCAGTCACGACGCTGAAGTAGAGTCGGACCGAGGTCTAAGATCGAGGTCGGTTCGGGGAGGGTGCCCTAATGTTCTTCGTGCTTGTTGGATGTTCTTGTGCGTCCTGAAGGGAGGGCACCCTCGAATGTTCTTCGTGTTCTTGTCCGGCTTAGGGTCTCGTGTTCTTGAGGGGTGTTTTGCATCACTAGGCTTATGATGTTCCAACCTACTTGAGCCCTGGTCACCAGAAGTAATTTCGAGCAACAAGAAAGTACCGAAACTGGAGAGCTTTCACGTGTCGGGCCCTGGGGGGCGATGTTCGCTCGACACTGTTTCGATACTTGCCTGGGTGCTCGGAATTAGTTCTGGGATGTGGTCCCGAAGTGCGATGGGAGCAGCTCGGGAGGAACACAAAAACACACACTGACACCATGAATCGTCGACTCCCCGGAGAGTGTGCGAGCATACGGGAAGTGGGGGAGAGCCGAAAAGTCCAGGGGCATCCCGGGATCTGCGTGCATCTGTGTGCGTGCCCCTGGGCCCCTTCGGCAACCTAGTCCCGGGCTCGATGGTGCTCCTGGCGCGGGAAGGGGCTCTGCTCGGCGGGCCCCTCCTCGGGCCCGCGTCGGGGAGGGCCCTCCTCGCCGTGGCCGAGGCGCCCCGCGGCCCGGCAGAGCAAAGAGCCCTTCGTTCCTCGTGTCCTGAAGTTCGGGGGCGGAAAAGAGGGGGGTGATGACTAGGGGGGGGGTGGATATCATGGCGGGGGCCATGATTTTTCCCCAGATTTCATGGCGCCCCTTCTTATTTCATTACGTCCCTGGCCCCCCCGCTGGGCCGCGCACATGCCGCCGGTCATGATTTGCACCCCCCCCTCTTGGACACCCCTCTCTAGGCCGCTCCCGAGAAGTCGGGGATGTCCCTCTGCAGGAGGACTTTCAAACAGGTAGTCAGCAAACAGTGCGGGGACGACTGTCTGACTACGTCTGGTTTTTTTGGCTTCTGTTTGGGCCATCTTTCGTCTTGCCTCCCAAATCCGCCTGTAGGAGAACATGCCCGACCTGATCGTATCCAGCGTTCCTCATGGTAGCACGATCGACAATGACTGTGCAAGTGAATAGCGCAGCACCCTGAATCGAGAGCCATATCGCCATAGCACAGGCCAGTCGTCGAAAGCATGTTTTTTATATGTCCCAGATCCCCATCTATTTCAAGCGCCTTCCTACCTCAAGAATATGTATATCCTTTTGCTGTGTTCTGTTCTTCTCATGGAACGCATGGACCCGATCTACTTGATCCGCCTTCCTACTTCTGTTCTACCGACTTCTTCCGACCAGCGTGTGCTGAAATGTCAGGTGGCCCGTTTCGCTTCACGTGGGTTGCCAGTGCTCTTTGAGGGGCAGTCAGCGCTACCTTGCGGCAGGCGCTGGCTGCTCATGTCACGCAAATCCGTTGCACGAATTGGGTGTCCAAGGCCCTTGCATCCTTATCGCGCATCCGTATGACACGGGCCGACTGGACAGTGAGGGCGCGCATCAAGAAACCATCCGCTTTTTCTTTCAGGGTACCCTGGATTTCTCCGCTCCTCGCGCTGCGCGGTGACTTCCCGCGGCCGCTGACGAAGCTGCTGCGTTCAGGTTGCCCTGGGCTTCTCCCGAGTCGCACCTCTTGTGCGGGTCTTCAGGGCCGGGTCTCTTGCGAGGGGTTCTTGCGGCCGCGCCCGCACTGCACCCCGGTGTTCTTCGTGCCTGTGGGACGTTCTCGTGCATCCTGCGGCGGGTACTCCAGATTTCGTAATAAAAGGGAGGGGGTCTGGACCCTCCAAGACAAGCCATTTCAGACCTCCCCCTTGGGAGAACCCTCCAAAACATCGTCCCCAGACCCCCCAGGCCCTCCAAGATAGCCTGGAAGAGACCCCCCCCGAAATGAGACCCCCCTCCCTTTATTACGAAATCTGGAGTATCCTCGAGTGTTCTGTGCGTGCTGGCCGGCGGAGGGTCTCGTGTTCTTGAGGCATGCTCCTCTGGCCCAGGTCCGGGCGTGTGGCCCGGGAGGGCCAGCCCAGCGCCCCCAGCCACCCCCCCTCCGTCGGCGGAGAGGCCCGTCGGGTGCTGCCGGACGTGGCTCCCGGGCCAGGGTGCCCCCCGCTTCTCCGGCGGAAGCTCGGGAGCCCCAATGGGGCCCTGTGGGCCTCGTGTTCAGGACGACGATCAATGCCAACTGATGTCCAGATGTCTTACGGTGTTTTAAACGTGCCTCAAACATGCGCAACAGAACATTGGAGTTGAACATGGTTGGTGCACGCTTCAAGCATTTCAAGCACATGCTTAATTCGACGATCGGATTGTCCATTGTCATGGCATCCAGAGGCCTCGTGGGGTCCTGGGGGCACTTTGGGCCAGGAGCACCTCTGAGAGCTCCGCTCATCGAGCAGAGTGCGCGGTCGAAGGCGCTCAGTCTCCTTGACCGGTGTACAGTGGAGGCCCACTCCAAGAAATACCCTTGGTGGGCTCGTTTCCACCACCACCACCATAAGTAGGAGGGGAGGGGTCCTCATCCTCCTCCTCTTCCTCCTCCTCCTCCTCTTTCTCCTCTTCCTCCTCCTCATCCTCCACATCCTTCCCTCCTCCAACTTCTGGTGGTGGTGGTGAAAAACAGGCCCATCAACCCTGCTTGCCTCCAGTGTGCCCTGGGTTTCTTGGGTTTCGATGGTTTTGCGATGGAAGGCGTGACGTTCCCACACCGAAGAATCAGTGGACGTCCAGGGGTATCGGGGTCGGGTTTCCGGTGGAAGGTTTCTTGTGGATTGGCCTCCACTGTAGTTCGTGTCCAGCGCCTGTGTGTTGCCCTTGGCTGCTGCCCTCCCCCGTGCCTCCGATTCCCGATTCTCCTGTCGGCGCTGGGGCTCTCCGAGCGCGGCCGCTTCCTCCAGGCAGGGCCCGGCCCAGAGCCAGCCCTGGGGGGAGAAGACTCTCTCCCTGTGCCTCTCCTTCGCCGCCTTCCTCCCCCGCGCGTCCCCGAGGAAGAAGGAGGCGTTCACCCTCGTCAAGAAGGAGAGACGGCTGGTCTGCGCGGCCCTCGGGCGGCTGCCACGCGTGGGCAAGTTGTTGTTGTGGGGAGAGCTTCGTGGGGCGCGATGGCACTCGATGATACGGTCAACCCGCATAGTACGTAAGGATGCGGTCAGTGGCAGCAGAGACACCTCCTCCTCCTCCTCCTGCTCCTCCTTCTCCTCCTCCTCCCTCCTCCTCCTACTCCTCCTCCCTCCTCCTCCTGCTCCTCCTCCTCCTCCTCCTTCTCCCTCCTCCGCCTCCTCCTCCTCCGCCTCCTGCTCCTCCTCCTCCTGCTCCTCCTCCTCCTCCTCCTCCTCCTCCTCCTCCTCCTCCTCCTCCCCCGTAGCCATTTTGGCTCAAGGCGGGAACTCCTCCCCGTCCCGACTCCCGAGGTTCGAGGCCGAGGTGGAAGGGCAGCCTCTTCCAACAGGCCTGGCTGCCTCAGCCAGCGCAACAGCAGTCATTACCAGCCTTCGGCGGCGCGCGGCCGCAGTCAGCCTCGCCCTCTCGTGCTGCCTCGTGGCCCTCAGGCCATGGCACCCATCAACAGGTACCGTCAATACCTCTGCTGCTCTCGCCAAGGGTGCTCGGGGTGGACCTTTCTCGATCGGAACGACGAGTTCTGGTTCAAGTGCGGGTCAGCCTTCCCCAAACCAGGCACGTCAGCAGCATATTCGAAGTCGGGCGGCAACGGCGGAAACTGCAGCCAGCGGAACCACGGTGGAGGGCCCAGGAATCGTTGGACCAGGTCCCCTCGTTCCGCCCCAGAGCCCGCCGCAGCAGCCAGCCCAGCCCAGTCAGAGCCCCAGTCCCACCCCATCTCCGTCTTCCAAGCCCTCTGCGCCTTCTGGAAGTCTCGTGAAAAAGGGGTCGGGCGAGGAACTTATGCCAAAGCTGTTGTTTTCCAAGCAAGCTAAGACAGCAGCCCTCTCAGAGAAACCCCTCGAATAGCAATGCCAGTCTCTTCGCGATCCAGAAGTGCACCGACCAGATCGCCACCCGCGTCTCCGAGATCTCGGCGCTGGCCGACAAGGTCACCTCGCTCGGCAGCGAGAAACAGGCAGCCGTCAAGGAGTTCGCGCAGTTGGAGAGCCAACTGGCGGTCACCGTCAGGGCAGCAACTGCGCAGGCGGCACCAGTCCAAGATCACCCGTACTTCCCCAGGGTCACCCAGTTCATGGATCGACTCAAGTCGGGTCCAGTCGTCGGTGTACCGCAGAGCGTTCAAGGCCAGGTCCGCGGCCTGGAGCAACATCTCGCCCGGGCCTGCGCGGAGGCGGCGCAGGCGCAGCTCGCGGCGGCAGCGGGCGTTGCGGCAGGCGGCGTGGCGCCAGCAGCAGGTGAAGGGTCGGCGGCGCAGCCGCCCCAGGCCCCAGCCCCAGCAGCTCCCGCCCACTCCGCCGCGCCCCCAATGGAGACCCAACCATACGGGCAGCCGCAGCAACAGCAGCTGCAGCAGCAGCAGCAGCAACAGAAGCAGCCTGGGGCCCCTCAGCAGATTCAGCCAGCCTCAGGCGCCTCACCAGGATCCGCAGGAGCCATGGACGAGTCCACCAGCAACAAGAGGGGTCCGACACATTCAGCAGCAGCCCTCCAGAAGGTTCCAGAAGCCATCAAGTGAGCAGGGGTCCCCGAGGAGGCCACGTCCAGGAAGCTTCGAAGCCTCGCGGAGGCTGCCAAAGGGGAAGGAAAGGGCGGGCCGCCAGGGTAACACCGCCAGTACCGTCACTATCGCTGGCAGCTGTTGGGACGGTGTCAATAGTTTTGTTTCCTCGTCATTCGCAGCGAATGTCATCGCTGTATGTTGCCAGGAGGCTCGTCTCCAAGGGGATCGCATCGCACGCGCTCACCAGTGGTGTCAGAGTCAGGGCTGGCACGCTGTAGTATCTGATTGTGTCGCGACTGGCGCCGAGCGACCTTCCGTTGGCACAGCCATCTTAGTTCGAGCGGGCTTCAAATCCGGCGCCCGCCATGCAGATCCCCCCCTCAGATCCCCCCAGCAGAATGTCAGCGATCATTCTGGAATTATCATGTCACTCCACCTTCGCCCTGCTCCCCGTCTACTTCGAAGATTCCTCTGGTCTGAGCCAGCAGAACTTGGAGCTGCTGGCAGCCATCGGGTGGATGCAGAGCCACCACCGCATGTCAGTGTTTGCCGCGGCGGACCTTGACATGCCGCCCTCAGTTATCAGCAAGACAGGCCTGACGGACCGAGGAGACCTCGTCATTGTCAGCCCCAAGGGGCCCACGTATTTCACATGGAAGAGTCGGTCCAATATTGATTATTTCGCGGTCAGCAGGGTCCTCGGAGACTCCATCAGCAGCGCCGGCGTGTTATCTATTTACCCGCTCTCGCCGCGCCGCCCAGTCACCGCGCAGATCAGCATAGGTCAGCGCCCTCTTGTCCCCGGGCTCGTCAAGCCCTAGCAGCTCCCCACCGGGCGCCCAGTTGGCCCCAGTTGGCCCCGCTTTTGGGCCCCCTCGCGTGGGCCCGCTCTGCCGAGACAAATCGCAGAGCTAGCTGGCAGCCCTGCGCCCGCCCGCCCCGCTGGTTCGCCAATCGAGTGATCGACGTTTTGCGCGAAGCCCACATTCAGCTCTCCTCGGGTTTGAGAGATGCCCAGCCCACCTTGCAGGGTGCGCCGCTGGGGTTTCAGCGCGTGGCGGAAAACGCCCTCGCGCTAGACGTCCGGCATGCGGGCTTCCCTGCAGTCAGCCAGCATGCTCGCGCCATTTTCAGCAGATTTCAGGAGGAGGTCAGGAACTTCCACGACCGGGGGCGCTCTGCGGAAAGACTCCAGTCCACGGCAGCCGGGAAACAGTGGGTCCAGGAACAAATGGCCCGAGGGGTGGGATGGGCCCATGGATGGTCCAAGAACGCCACCTGCTGGAAGCCCCACGAGGCCGAGGCCAAGAACGGCCGATGGACGGGACAGCCCTCGTCCCTCCTCCTCTACGAGTCGGACCGCCTCACCGTTATCTGGGGGGCCCAGCCTCAGCAGAGCCCCAGGTGCCCGCCCTGGGCAGGGGGCGCCGCGAAATTCAGCCCCACAACCCCAGAGGTCCTCAGGAAAGCAATCAGGATCTTCAGCCGCCAGACCTACCAGACCTGGGGCGGAGCCCACCCGAAGCACATCGGCCTGCTCACAGACGAGCAGCTCCTGGTCTTCGGCAATTTCCTGATGTGCTCTGGGCAGATGGGGGCCATGCCCGCCCAGATCCCGGTCACCCTCGCGAGCCTGATCCCAGAACTGAAGGCCGCGGGGGGGCCCGCCTATCGACGCGTCGGTTTGCTTCAGGGGCCGCATCGAATCTGGGCGAAAGTCAGACAGAGCGAAGCCGGGACATGGGATCGCGAGAACCTCTGCATCCTCGAGCTAGTATATCAGCAGTCCCTTCAGGCAGAACAGCGCCGCCATCAGCAAGAGCCCCGAGCACAGGTTCGGTTCTGTGGGACATGTCTAATTATTGCGAGCACATCAACAGAGCCTCCTTGCTAGCACGCGCAGAAGCCAGCGAGTTTAACCAAGCCGTCCTCGCCGTCGTATTGAACCAGTAGCAAGCATGCAGATGCGCCACGTTCGATCATATCGTGCAAAACATTTGGCTTCCCTACTCGAGGCGCCCCAGCAGGGTGCGGCTTCGCCACGTATCTAGTCCAGATGTACTGCGAGCAGCCCTTGCAGCAGTGGGTCCCAGCGCATCCGCGAGTTCAGCTCAGCCTCTTCATAGACGATAGTTTGCTGCAGTCGTTTCATTCGTGCAAGAAGCAGTTCGTGACGGCGCTGCTCCATGGGTGCTTTCAGTTGCTCGCGGCCGTCATGCGCTACCTGCAGAAAAGAAGTCAGCGGTCCCCGCCTCGTTCAGGGACATCCAGGAGCGCCTAGAGATCGAGGTAGGCGAATGCGCGGGCCCACGGCAGAAGGTCCAGGTCGCCCCGGATATCGGCGTCGATTTCCGCTCGGGGCTCGCCCGCGGACAAGGCGTCGGGAAATCTACCCTCATGGCCAAACGCGCCAAGCTCAAAACGAGGACCTCGAGATTCGCTAGCATCGAGACGGCCCATGGGGACACCGAGAAGGTTGACTACACTGGCCTCAACCAGGCCCACTTCTACGGTTCGGAGGTCGTGGGGGTCGACAACGTAGAGCTTCGCAAGTCGCAGTCGCCCTTCCTAAAGATTGCGGGCCCAGGGTCCATCGCGCGCTCCAGGAGCCTGGCGTTGTGCATCCTTGGCGACCCCTGCTGGCGACCAGCAGTCGGCCCAGTTCTACTGTGGAGCCAGCTCGTCTGGCGGGCGGCGACAGGCGCCGCGTCGCACGGTTTTGGCCTCCCAGAGTTGCGCTCCATGTGCCAGGGGGTTTTAGATTGCCCTCCAACCAAGTGGGGCATCTGCCGGGGACCGATCGGCGCCGCCTACTTGAGCCCCCAGCGCATCCAGTGGGTTTTCGCGCCCCCGTTCGCCCTCCAGGACTTCAGAGGAACCCGGCGCATCCTGATCAGCACCTCCCCGCAGCTCATCCAGGACCTGCCGCGGCAGTCTTGGGAAGACAGGCCCCCGCAGCACGCGGCCTCCAAACTAGGCCTCGAGGGAGCCGAGCTTGACGTCTCAATGGCCCAGAAGAGCTTACAAACAGCTACGTTAACGAAAATCAAGAAGACCACCGTCCTCGCCTTCCCGTGCCAGGCCATCTGGGTCATGTCAGGCCTCCAAGCGGCGGGCTACGATCTAGACGACGCGAGGTGCACGTGCGGGGCCGAGACAGACGACCTACCTCACCGTCTTCTGAGATGCCCACAGACTGAGGCCCATAGCGCCAACAGTTGTTTCGCTTGAAGAGCTGGAAACCCTTTCGAGCCAGTCAAGTTTTCCTGTAGTGGCGGGCTTCCGGGTAGAACTTGATTCCATCATCGGGGCCCCTGCGGGCCCGGGATTGAGCTCGGCCAAGTTTTGGTCCACGGATCCCGAAGCCACGGTCGGGGCCAGCTTCGTCGGCAAAGTCTCCACGGACGGGTCATGTTTAAAGCCAGGTAGTAAAGCTCACCTCGCGGCAGGCTGGGGAGTTACCAAAACTAATGCAGAGGGCGAAGTCGTAGCCGCCCTTGCTGGACAGGTAGGCCTATGTCTCCCCCAATCCCCCCCTGCCGCCGAGCGCCTTGCCGCGCTTGCTGCCGTCTCCTCGTCCACTCGGATCGCGGGGGGGAGTTAGATCTGAATGCGTCGGGGCTCAGCAGAAAGAGTGTTTACCCTGGGATAGGCCCGTTAGCTAGAGCCGCCATAGGCTGGCACCCGCACCTCAGACTGACCAAGGTCAAGGTCCACAAGAGCCCCGACGCAGCGCCAGCAGGGTCCCCTGAATGGGTAGACATCATGGGCAACCAAGGGGCCGACCGTTTTGCTGGCATCGCCTCGAGGGCTTTCGTCCGGTTGTCCGAGGGTGAGGTTGTCCCGTTTGCGTCAGAATGCAATCCTCAGCAAGTGTCTGTTTATTTGTAGCCCGAACCCTGCAGGAGTGGCTTCCTATAGGGCCCAGCGGCTCCAAGAAAGCTTTCCCCTCGCCAAGTCACAGCCTCTCGCCGACCATCGGAGCGGGGGCAGTGCAGAGCATGTGGCATCCATCGCAGCAGAGCGTCAGCCCGCAGCCCCCAGACCCCCCTCGCCAGTAGCGAAGCGAGGGCAGGGCCCATAAGTCAGAGGTTGCGGGCAAGCGTTTCATTTGCATCGGCTGCCGAGGGAGATCGGCATTCAAGAGAGATGCCCAGTGCGTCGGCCACGCTGTTCAATTAGCTTCGCTTTGTGCGCGCCTCCTCGGGCACCGCCTCTTCGTTTCGGAGGTATCCTCAGCTGCTCCAGGTGCGGGAAGTTTGCGGAATCGAACCCCCGTCTCCTAGCCAGCGAGTGCAACCAAGTCTTCGCTTGACCAGGAAACGGAACTCAGTGGCGCCTCGTCGACAGTGGGAGCACGCCTACCTCCTGCGCCAAAAGCAGGAGGCCCACCCCCCACACGAGGGAGAGGGAATGGCGCACGCAACAGTAAGCTGATCAGCTCGAGCCCCCTTCAACCGCGCGACGGTCCTCCTCCTCCTCCTTCCGCCTCCCTCCTCCCTCCTCCCTCCTTCCTCCTCCCTGCCTTTTCCTTCCCCCTCCTCCCTCCTCCCCCCTCCCTCCTCCCTCCTCCCTCCTCCTTCCCCCCTCCTTCCCTCGAGCTGGAAATAGCGCGGTGCAGAGTTTCTCGACGCCTTGGAGCCGAATTTCATTCAGCGACGGTCCAAGGTGACATTTGCAGCCTTCCCTTTCGGCCCATCCTTGGTCGCCTTTGCTGGCCGCGTCCCGCTCGCAGAGTTCGGAAGGCCCTTACACCTTCACCGTGCGTCCCTGATACACGGGTTGACCGTGCGTGCACTTGATGCATGCTGCGCCGTGGCAAGGACGATGGGGGCGACAAGTGTATCGAGCCTACCGTGCATTTGGGTGCCACTGTGAGCCTAACTGGTTGTTTGTTTGTTTTGCTCCTCCTTGGGTGGTGATCGGCTTTGGACAGCCGGCTGCAGTGTGTGATTCGATTTTCGAGTGCCGATCTGCAGGTCTTGGAGCGGGTTTCCGGATGTTTTTATTTTGTTTTGCAGTTTGAATGTCATCTGGAAAAAGCAGCCTCCCACGTCTTTTCCACCCTACTCTGTCGGCTGCACTCCCAGCGAGGGAATCGGCGCGGGTGGTCTTCCTTTCTTGATTTCGGGAGGAGTCGGTGAATTTACGGTGCCGTCGCTGACGCAACACGTAATTGGATTTCCAAGTCATGCTTGAATAGGATCCTCTTCCCGCAACTGCGGATAAGAATGGGGGGGCGCCTGGGCTGCCACGAGCGCCCATGTGAAGAAGCTCGCCATCGGCGCTGATTCGCTGATGCTTTTCCGAAGCGATCAGCAGGCCGCAGGGGGCGATCTTTTGGAAATCAGTGTGGGATGGTCGCGGGATGTGGGGCGCTGGAGGGTCACGAAGCTCGAACGCCAAAGTTACGAAGCCCGTCGTAAGCGCCGATGTTGCTCCTTCTGGCAGAAGAAGTCCGCCACGAGCGGCGGTTTCTGTTTCGGCTCGGTACTGGCGGGTCGCGGGCGTGGGTCACAGGCGTGTGTTGCGGGTGGATCGCCGGTCCCGGGTCGCGAGCGGGTCGCGGGTGGGTCTTGCGGGGGCGGGGATCCCGGGCCCTTCGGTGCACCAGCGGATCGACTTCGTGCCCCCCTCTCAGGGTCACCCCCCCTTGGGGTGGATCTCGAGGTGGGCGGGGGTGGTCTCCTGGGTGAGTATCCTGGGTGGGTCGAGAGGCGGGTCGCGGGTGGGTCGCAAGGCGGGTCGCGGGTGCACCGCGGGGCGGGTGGCGGGTTGCTCTCGGGACGTGGTCCAGCAGGAGCAGGAGTCCGCCACACGGGACCCGTTGGTCATCTTTTGGCGCATGGCTCGGACGTGTACACTGCTTCCCGACGTGGACCCTCGAGGAGTATCTTGGACCACCTTTCAAAGAAAGAAAAGCATACACATCAACTTTTGGCGCTCCGCGTGGATTTCTTGGATCCGCGCTGGGCCCCCCGGCGTCGCCTCTGGCGACGTCCCGGGCGCGCTCCGCGTGCCAGGGTGGGGGGTCCTGTGCGGATCCAAGAAATTCGCGCGGAGCGCCAAAAGTTTTTGTTTGTTCCGTTTTTCCTTCTCGTACTCGAGGAGCATCCTGGACCACCTTGCGAAATATGCACGGCGGTGGGCTTGTTTTCCTCCGCCACCTCCATAAGTAGGAGGGGGAGGGGCTCCTCCTCCTCCTCCTCCTCCTCCTCCTCCTCCTCCTCCTCCTCATCCTCCACCTCTTCCCCCCTCCAACTTATGGTGGTGGTGGTGGTGGAAAGCAGGCCCATCACACGCGCGACAGCGACACGTGCACCGGGAACTGGACGTGCGAGCGACGGCAAGGTGCTCGCGTCCAGGGGGCGGGTGCCAGGCCGCGCCGCCCCCCCGCCGGGCCTGCGGGGGCCCCCCCCCCCGGCAAGGACGACGCGCAGGCGCTCGGGGCGCTGCTGGACGCGCTCGAGGCCTCGGGGCGGGAGGGGGGCCGGGGGGAGGACGGGGCCCACATCTCAGGAGGGGAGAAACACACACAGACACAGTTCATCGCCGACTTCCAGGAAAGTATTGGGAAATGGGGGGAGGGAAGACGAAAGCCCAGAAAATAGAGGAGAATACGGGGAATCCTCGCATTCGTGTTTATGTATTTGCGTGTCCATGGGCCCCCCTCAACATCGTCGTCGTGTTCGTGGCTGGCATCGCTCGGGCGTGTGCACTTTTTTCTCGGCCAGGGCCATCGAGAAGCATCTAGGATCATCTTGCGAGAACAAATGCACGCGCGAAGACGAAAAATGCGCAGGGCGCGGACGTCCAAGCGATGGCGAGATGTGGCGGTGGACAGAAGGTGGCCTAGGGTGTGCATTGGCTCGCTCTTGGCTGCACGAGGAGGAATTGGAATTGGAATTGGCCCATTCGCGATGCGAAATTAACGATTCAAATGAGCCCGAACGATCACTTCTCAGCGCCTTTGCACCGAGACAGTTCCTCCGAAGGGCGGAAGAGAGGCAAGACAGAAGCGTTCGCCCTGGGGCACCAGCGGGTTCCTCCGTGCCTGCGTGCACACTCCTCCAGAAAAAAGGTGACAGCCCCAGCGGCGCCTCCGCCGCACCTGCACGCGCAAGCCACTCACTCATGCTGACCCAAGCCTCCGCCTGCCACTGCAGGTCGGGACTCTGGAACTCCCTCGACCGCCAGGCGGGTCTCCTGGCGCGAGACTTAGCGGAGCCCAGGGCCACCCCCGCAGGTCCCCTTGCCCAAGGGGGGCCAGGTGGCACACATCCATGAGCCTCTCCCGACCACCTCTTGGTGCGGGAGGACCCGAGTGCGGAGACTGTCTCTGGGGCGGACAGGACCCTAGCATTTTAGTCCCTCCGCACCCACCACCTCCCGCGAGTGGGTGGTTTTTTGCGGCAGGTGAGGCCGTGCCCTGAAGGCCACGCTGCCCCCCCTGGCCCGAGCGGCCAAGCGGGACAGCCCGACACCCTGGGCAGGGATTCGAGGAGTGGATTCAGAACTCCATGGCCGCTGGTGCTGGCGGCCTGCATGCCCATCGACGGGGCCCGAGCGGCTGGGCGCCCGACGACGAGTTCCACGGGGCCCCAGCGCACGGCCCAGATCGCGTGAAGGTCGCGGCGGCGCAGTGCCCCTCCCCTCCCTCCCCTCCCTCACCCCCTCTGGAGAGGCGAGAGACAAGGCACCGAGACTTTTGCTCCCCAGCCCTTCCCTTCATTTTCCCTTTCCCGCGCGCCCTCTTCCCCCTCCGCGCCAGGGCGAGGTGCCCGGCGTGCGCTGGCAGGAGCGCTCCTCTTCTCTAGGCCTCCCAGATGTGGCCAGAGTAGACGGGGTCGGAGGATCGCGCCGCATCGCCGATGCATCGCCAATGCGGCTCGATGTGAAGCCCGATTTTCTCCCCGCCGACGGCGCCGATGCATCGCCGCCGTCGACGATGCATCGTTGGTGCATTGGCGATGCGGCGCGTCCCTCCGACCCCATCTACTCCGACCCCACCTGGGAGGCCTTTCTCTTCGGCGCGGTGGAGATGGGTAAATAATAAGAACGGGAACCGTCGGAGGAGGAAGAGGTGCATATCCACACCGCTGCCCTTCCGTTGTTTTCCCTTTTTTGCTGCCTCCTGGGAGGCCCTCGTCGCCACCGCTGGGTTCGTTTCCAAATTCTGCTCAGAACGCACCTCTGGAGATGTCACGAGCGTAGCGGTATCAGTAAGTTCTGGTTTCTCCAGATAGGGACCGACAGCAGCTTCCAGGGGCAACGCTTCGGGGGGATAGGCCCTTCGAAGTGCAAACCTCTGGGTTTTCGGACGCCTTCGTCGTTGCCGAGGGTCGGCCCGAACTCCTGATGAAGGCCCGAGTTCTGGCCCGACAACAATCCTGGGCAGCGTTGGAGGGGTAGACTGGATCCACAGAGCCCGAATCGCGCACTTCTCGCCAATATGGGCCCGATATCCCGCCCCGCCCAGGGCCGTGCGGATCCGCCATCGGAGGCATGTCGCCGATCTGTCTGCGATGCATCGCCGATTTCAGGTCGATGCTTCCCCCCCTGGGCTGGTCACCCCTTATTGCTGCCGGCCATCCAGGAGACATGGAAGGCATCCAGCCTCCATTCCCGTGGCGCCTCCTTGCAGGCGCCACCCCTGTCTGAAGATGTAAGACCGGCGCCTCCTAAGAAGCGGCCTCCTTCGAAGAAGCCTTCCCTCCTCCCCCCTACCCTCGGGGGCGGCCAAGAGGTGGCGATGACTGGGGGGGGTGGTGTCACGGCGGGGGCCATGAGATCTCCCCAGATTTAATGGCGCTTCTTCTTATTTCAATACGTCCTTGCCCCCCCCCCCCCCTGGGCCGCGCACATGCCGCCGGCCATGATTTGCGCCCTCCTTCCCTCTTGGACGCCCCCCTCTTCGACGCCCCCGAGAAGCCTTCCCCCCTCCCCCTGCCCCCCCCCCCTCTGCACGCCGCCAAGAGGCAGATGCCTTCCAGGATGTTCCAGGTGAGCCAGGCAGGCAGGCAGGATCGTGATGTCAGCTATTGCTACTAACAGTGGGGGCACATGCCAAGAGACACCCTGCTTGCAGGGTGCCCTGGGTTTCTGAGGTTTTGCTGGTTTTTGCGATGGAGAGCGCGACGTTCCCACACCGAGAATCGAGGGAATTCTTGGAACGCGTCGTGTAACGGTCGCATCCTTGCATCGATGTTCGAAAAGACCGGTCTGCATAGACATGCTGTTTTGGAGGTCGGCGCGGATTTCTTGGATGGGCACTGTCTCCCTCTGGCGGCGCTTCCAGCGCCGCCAACGGCGCGCCCCACGCGCCAGGGACGGGGGTGCCAGCGCCGATCCAAGCAATCCGCGTGGACCTCCGAAGGCTGACGCGGATCCCCCACCCGCGGGTCGGAGCGGTTGCGGCTGTGGCCCGCCCGTTGGCGCCTCGTGGGCGCCTCGCTTGTGGGGGAGCCCGTCTCGGTCTCGCGGTTGGTGCCCCCCCGTGGGCGCCTCGTGGACACCCACCAGCGCCTGGGGGGGGGTTACGTCGCGGATTCGGCTGGGCCCCGCCCGCGGGCGCGCCCCGCGCTCGGGGGGAGCGTCTGGGTTTCGGCCGGTGCCCGCCCACGGGCGCCTCGTGAGCGCCCCGCGCCCTGGAGGGTCTGCCGGGGTTGTCGCCCAGTGCCCGCCAGTGGGCGCCGCGCGGAGTGCCCCGCCCTGGGGGTTCTGCTGCGGCACGGCGCGGCCGAGGAGGAAGTCAAACACGGACCCCGCAGCAGACGAAGTCCTGGGTCGCGTCGCGGACCTCGTGGAGCGACAGGCCGCGCCTCTCGAACTCGCGGAGGATGGCCTGCAGCGCGGAGTCGACGAGCTCCCGCGGGTATGCTGAGGTTTCTCCTGGTGCCCGGCCGTGAGCACCGCACGCAGGTTGAGCCGCGTAGGATGCAACCTGCAGCGTGCTCCACACAGCATGTGTCGCCTTCGCGTCGCTTGCCCCACCTGGCTTGCACAGCATAGGTTTTGCACCGCGCGGCTTGCGCCGCATTGCTTGAAACACGCTGCTTGTGCCACGTAGCTTGCACACACATCGCCTGCACCACATAGTCACATAGCTCGCACCACGCGGACTGCACCGTGCAGATTGCAGCGCATGGCTTACACTTCGTAGCTCGCACCACATAGCTTGCACCACATAGCATGCACCAAATGTCGCACACATCCGCAGTGCAACCTCTTATTGTTGGGGGTCCACTGGCGAGCACTAGATTTGAACAAGTTTCCGATTCGACCCGCCTCGCACACGCTAGGCTCCCGATACCGCGGCCGCCAGGCCGAACGCGTGCTGGTGCTCCCTTTGTTCCGCCCCGTTCCGTCGACGAGTCACGATTGCACACCTTGGAGCCAGCAAAGAGGGGGGTGATGACAAGGGGGGCGTGGATATCATGGCGGGGGCCATGATGTTTCCCAAGGTTTCATGGCGCCTCTTCTTATTTCAATACGTCCCTGCCCCCCCCCTCGGCCGCGCACATGCCGCGGGCCATGATTTGCGCCGCCCCCCCTTCTTGACGCCCCCTTCTTGGCCGCCCCCGAACACCGTGGCCACGAGGCCCAAATTGTGCTGGTGCTCCCCACCGATCCTTATCGGGGCTCAAGTGACGGGGGTCCATGCAAACGTGGGTCAGTCAGAGCGCCAGATCTTGCAGGATCCTGCAGAGCCAGGGGCGCACTGACCCTGGTTTGGGTGCAGGATCCTGCAGGATCCTACGAGACCTGACTGACCTGGGTCTGGATTGACCCGGGTCAGCAGGTCCCCGACCTTTTGGCTGAGCATCGTTTGAAGCAAAATCAGTTTTCTGGTTCTCGCCCGTCCTGCAGCAGAGGACGCCCGCGAACCGGCGCGGCCCGCCTTCGCACGGGAGAGTCGCGGGGGAGTAGCGGCCATATCGGGGGTTGGGGCTTACCGCCCCCCCATTAAGCGACGCCCCCCCATAAGCGAGGCCCCCAGCAGACCTCCTCCTCCTCCTCCTCCTCCTCCTCCTCTTCCTCCTCCTCCTCGTCCTCCTCCTCCTCCCCTCCTCCTTCCTCCTCCTCCTCCTCCTTTCCCTCCTCCTCCCTCCTCCTCCTCCTCCTCCTCCTCCTCCTCCTCCGCCTCCTCCCAGGGAAGCCCCCCCCGGCTCCTCCCGCTGGTGGTCCCTGTTGGTGACGGCGCCGCTCCCTCCCGCCCCGACCATTTTGCGGCCACGGCCCGGGCTTCCGCGGCGCCCTCGCTTTAAGAGTGGCATCACCTTAGCTTGGTGCTGATGTTATGGATCTCCTAGGCTTCTGAGGGCCCATCCTTCAGATTGCAGTCGCCCTTGGGCTTGTCAATCTTAGGGATGGGGGGGAGCTCGAAGCTGGTGCCCCCCCCCCCCCCGAGGGAGACGGGGCCTGTGACCTGGGATTTTCCCCAGGACCAGCTCTTCATCCTGGGTAGTTCTAAGTCGGACATGTCCCTCTCCAGGAGAAATAGTCAAACATAGTCAAACAAAGTGTGGGGACGATGTTTTGAATCTATTTGACAATGTTTGATAATTGTTTGAATGTTAGAAGCATGTTCTCCAACATCCGCCTGTAGGAGGACATGTCCGACCTAAGTCCGTAGACGCGCTAACGCTGTGTTGGCTAACGGCGAAGTAGGACATCCAATTGTAGGAAGGCATGGTTCGTGGCCAAACCAGATCCAGGAACGCGTGGTTCGTGTTTTCCTGCAGCTCGCCGTGTCGATTTCGTTCGATACATTCGCACACTTGAAGTGTAGGAAGCGGTGTTTCGTGATTTCCTACATTTTGTTTTGCGTGAGCTCGGTGCCACAAAAAAAATATATTCCCACTCGCACCGTTAACCAAGCACGCCGTCAGCGCGGCCTTGGCGAGTGTAGTGGTTTCATTATCCTGGAGCCCGCCGAGGGCCCCGGGAAGCCGGCAACGGTGGACAACTGTTTCCAGCAGGCGCCGATTGCTTTTTCCGGACGACCCCTCCCCGCGCCGCGCCCCAGGACTGGCGGGACTACGCCGGGCGCCCCATGCTCAAGTGCGCCAGGCCAGCTCGCCCACGCGTGCGTCGGCGAAGGGTTGCCTCCAGACCTTTCTGAAGGTCTCCAGCGGGAGTGCAGTGGACGGAACTCAGAGGCAGCGTTGGGAGGGGCATGTTCAGGGGGGGGGGAGATTCAGGGGGGATGGGCTCAGGGGGGGGGAGAGGGGGGGGGGGGGGGGGGGGGTGTTCGCCGGATTTCTCGAATCTTCGAAGGCGCTCGATGCCCAGGGGAGTTCATATCAGCTGCGCCTCGTCGAGCGCGTGAGGGATAGGCATAATGATGGGGGGGGCGCATCGATCCCCAGTCGCCCACGGATCGCCGATGGGGGCCCGGTAGCCCCAAACCTGCTGGGGACCGTGCGGATTCACGGTCGGGGGCTCGTCACCGACCTGTCGGCGAGGCAGCAACGACTCCAGGTCGGTGTCTCCCCCGCTCTGCCCCTCCCCCCCCCCCTCGGAGGCCCAGAGGTTGACACCAACACCAATATCGGCGTTGTGCCTCCACCGAGGGAAGAGTATCCCAAATTCGGTGATGGTGGTGATATTCTGGCCTCCTAGGCGGCCGAAAGATTACCACCAACACCGAAATCTAGGATCACCTTCCCCTGGTTGAGGCAACCCCCTGTGTTGGTGTTGGTGTCAATTTCCAAGCCTCCAACCCCCCCTGCCGATCCCCCCCCCCCCCCAGACGTCGGACGTCGTGTTTTTTTTCCAGGCGGGGTCCCCGGACGTCCCGACCCTGTCCCCGAGGCGGGTTGTTTCATCTTGAGCCGTCCCCTGCCCGTCTCAGGGCCCGGCGAGGGTCTCTACGGTAGGTTTGCGTCGTGTCGACCAGCGGCGACCCCAGCGCGGGCGTTCAAGGTTGAACGCCGCCGGCGACCCATAATCGATCGATGTTGAACGATCGGACGTTGCGGCAGCGGCCGATCGTTCAAGGTTGAACGATCCCTGCGGTGTCAAAAACCAACGCTGGGGTCGGCACGACACGAACCTGCCGTAGAAGCCTGCCGAAAAGGGCGAGCACCCCCGTCTTGCTGTGTTCGATGCGCCCTCTTAGCCTGCTGCTGGGGGTCGGTCTTTCGGGAGTCAGGAACAGGCAAGCTCAATTTCAATGATTTCCCTTTTTCGGGGTCACATCTTTATCAAAGCGATGCCTTCCTTGCCTTTTCCTGGTCAGTTCCCCTGGAAATATCTGGCCCACAGCAGTCTTCTACTCAGGGGATCCGTTTTCCTTATTTTGGCCCTTCGCTGGCCCTGAACCCCAGTAGTCTGACCGCCAGTACCAGGCGAATGGATACGGTAGGTTTGCGTCGTGTCGACTGACGGCGACCCCGCCGCCAGCGTTCAACTTTGAACGCTGCCGGCGACCCAGAATCGGCCCATCGTTGAACGATTCGGCGTTTCTGAAGCGGACGATCATTCAAGGTTGAACGCTTCCCGCGGTGTCAGGAACCAACGTCGGGGTCGACACGACACAAACCTGCCGTACGTTGGATCTCTGCGCCCCCCCGATTGTTGCCCCCCCCCCCCCCCCCCCGCCCCTGCGCCGCCAGGGAGCTGCGCTCCTCCTCCCCCTCCTCCTCCTCCTCCTCCCCCTCCTCCTCCCCCCCTCCTCCTCCTCCTCCTCCTCCTCCTCCTCCTCCTCCTCCTCCTCCCCCTCCTCCTCCCTCCTCCTCCTCCTCTCCTCCTCCTCCTCCTCCTCCTCCTCCTCCTCCTCCTCCTCCTCCTCCTCCTCCTCCTCCTCCTCCTCCTCCTCCTCCTCCTCCTCCTCCTCCTCCTCCTCCTCCTCCTCCCCCTCCTCCCTCGGCGGCGCGCGTTCCCAGCGCACTTTGAATTGGTGCCGGCGCAACCCCCCAGTGCTTCGCACCGGCCCCCCAGGAGCAGCCGCCGCCTTACGCCCAGCACGAGGACCCAGCGTCCAAACAGCGGCCGCCCCTGGCGGGGAGGGGTTGCGCCAGCCGGGGCCTATAGCCTTGGCATACCCGGGACCAGGACGTGCAGCCAGAGCAAGATGTAGCCGGCGTCGAGCGCAGGTCGCCCGCGTCCGGCGCCGCCCGCAGCGCAGCAGTGCCCGGCAGCAGCGCCGTCAGCCGCCCGCTCCGGCCTCCACCCCGCGCCGCGCGCCGCCCTGTCCGGCGAGCGCGCGTCCCCGGCCTTCGGCCCCTGCGCGCAGCAGTCCGCGCGCAGCAGCGGCAGCAGTAGCAGCCGCCGTCAGCCCAGCGTCAGCAGCTGCCCGCCCCGCAGCCCCGCGCCGACGCCCAGCGCCGGCGCCGCCCCCTGCCCGGGCCCAGCAGTCCTCCCCGCTCAGCGCAGCCCGGCGGCGCGCCGAAGCTGGCGCGCCACCTGGCGCTGCAGCGCGCAGCTGAGCGCCTTGTAGGCGCGCGCCAGCTCGCCGGGCTGCGTGTCCTCGGGGAGCTCGCGCACCTGCGCCAGCAGCCACTGTCGCGCCTCAGCGCCCAAGCGGCCGGAGGTCTCCAGGGCGAAAGCCGTGAGCCGCTCGCCCGGGTACCTCTCGTGTTTCTCGCGCTCGGCCCTGCGCGTAGCCTCTCCCGGCCGTCGCGCCGCAGCCCGGAGCGCCGTCTCGTCGCCTGCCGCCGGGTGGCGGACCGTCACGTCCACCCACCAGGAGCCGTCCACCTCCGCGTACTGGAGGTCCAACACGGCGCGTTCCAGGACCGGCGGGCCGGGCCCTTCTGCTGGCCGCCGCGCGCGGTGCCTATCCCAAGCAGGGACTCGTTGTTCGTAGAGGGGCACGCAGTGGCGCCACCTCCCGGCCAAGCTCCCCAGCGTCTTCTCCAAGTCGCCGTGGCGCCTCACGACGCCCCCGCCAGACTGGCAAGTGCAGGCGTGGTAGCCGTCTTCGTCCAGCGGGGCCGCGCAGGTGGCGCCGCTCGCCGTCTGGTTGCAGCAGGTAGCAGAGGCCCGGGCCAGCTCCGCGAGCGAGCACTCCGGCCGCGGCAGCAGCAGGCGGCGGCGCAGAGAGGTGCTCCAGTCAGCGTCCTCCAGGGCGCAGAGGGGCTCCGTCGGGTACTGCAAAAAACCGCCTGCCCCAGGGCCGCCCGCAGACAGCAAGGTGGCCTTGCTGCGAAGATCCACTCGCTGCTTGACGGCTGCGTGAGTTGTCTTGTGGATAATCGCAACGACCGTCTTCTGTCGCGTCTCCTCCCGTAGTGCAGCAGCTAGCGGGGCCCCCGGGGAGGGCTCGGCGCCCTGGCGCCCCAGCTCTGCGCGCGCCTCTTCGAGCTTCGCGCGCGTCTGCGGGAGCGTCTCCAGGGCGTCTGCAAGCGAGGCGGCGCCGAGGCCGCGCTGCACCTCGCCTGCCGCCTGCGTCCAGACCGCCCAGTACGCGGCCGCCCTGCGCGTGGCCGCCCACTGAACCCCCGCGCCACCCAGCTTCGCCGGCAAGCCTAGCATGTCGCGAGCCTCGGGCCCGAGCGGCCGCTCCGCCAGGTCCTCCCAGCAAGCGCGGAGCGCGGTGTCGTAGCGGAGCGTCTCGTCGTCAGCTGCCAGCGCCAGCTGCAGGTTGTGTTGGCTGGCGTTGCCCGCGTAGGTGCGCAGGAGCGCGGCGGCGGCCTGCCGGGGGAGGCCCCCGTGCTGCAGCTGGCGCAGCCGGCCCCAGAGCTGCTCCAAACGCTCCCGGGCCCCGTCCAAGCCGCAGTTGCTTCCGCCGAGGTGGAGCGCGGCGCCGGCGTCCGTCTGCGGGTCCCCGGGCGCGCGGAGGTGGGCGCCCAGCGCGGGCAGCTCGGGCACGTAGTGGGCCGCGAGCTCTCTCTGGACAGCCTGGAGTCCGCGCGGAGACCACACCAAGGTCTTGCGAGCGTTCAACTCGAGCCCCAGTGGCGCGAGCGCTCTCGCCAGCGCGTCCAGGGTGCGAACTCCCAGGTTGGCCGTGACTACCAGGTAGGTGTCGTCAAGATACGAGAAGAGCCGAGCCTCCGCGTCCAGCTGCTGCAGTTCGCCCAGGAGCTGCTCCAGGGCACCCCGCTGACCGACCGCGAAGCCAGCCGGGGACAAGGGGTCCCCTTGGTCGAACCCGCGCTGGCCCAGCACTGTCTCGTAGCGCCCGTCCGCCCCCCGCCACAGGTGCGTGGCCGGCCCCGTGTACCACGCCCGCAGCGCAGCGGCCACTTCGGGGACCTCGGCCTCCATGGCCTCCAGGGCAGGCTGGCGCTCCATCCGCTGGAAGGCGGACTTGACATCCACCTTGATGAACGTCGCGTCCGGCCGGCGCTCAGCCAGAGCCTGCAAGTGCTTCACCAGCAGGGCTGCGCCTCCCTTGCGGCCCACTCCGTACTGGTGCTCGCCAGCTGCGTCGCAGAGCTGCGTCTTCCGCGCCCGGGCCAGCGCGCGAAGGCCGAGGCGGCGAAGCGTGGCACCCACCAGCAGAGGCCGGACCTCGCCGGAGCCTTTGGCAAGCGCCACCAGCTCCCCCGCCCGCAAAGCTTGCAGCGTCTCCGGGGGGAGCTCTCCAAAAGCAGCCCGCGCAGCGGCGCGGGCGAGCAAGCTCAAGGTCGCCCCGCTGTCGGCGTTGGCCGCGAGGTGCTCCAGCCGCGCGCCCAGCAAGCCCGGGGCCGTGAGCCGAGGCGGGCGCCGCAGCAGCTTGCCGGCCTCTTGCTCGACCTGCTCTCTCAGCTCCGCGGAAGGTGGCCCGGGCCGCGCCCCTCGCTGCGGGGCCTCGGGGCGGGGCGCCTCGGCGGGGAAACACGCCCTGAGCTTCTCGAGCGTGGCCCCGGTCCGTGGCGCGAGCTCGGCGCCCACCGTCGCCGCCAGGGCCCGGGCCTCCTCGCCGGCCGCGGCCAGCGTGTGGACTCTGCGCGCTCGCTCCTTGTTCGTGGACTTCCGGCTCGGCGTTCGCGGCGCCGGGCCCCCGCCCACAGCAGAGGCCCACAGGAGCGGCCACTGCCCGCCCCACCACAAGGCCAGCCGTTCCTCCAGGAACTCTGCGCACGTGGGGCCCTCGCCACGAGGGCGGGCGAGCAAAACTAAGTCGAACAGCAGCACCAGTT